CCCGTATATCGGTAGTAATTTCAGAGCACCCAGAGCGATTCCAACCAACTAAACCAATGTGGCGATAAATCCAGAAAGAAAAGAGAAAAAAAAACAGTGAAAGCATTTGCAGTAAATATGAACAATAAGACACTGAAGAATGACGCTTTAAATCGCCTTACTAATCGTATCAGCCTGACAATACATTAAAAATAAGTTTGAGGTGTTTTACATGCAGAGGAAAGATCGAGCTTTGCAGACCCTCTAGACAACTAGAGTATCTGCTGAGTTGTTAACTGGTTTTAGCTGAGCCGCGTTTTTAGAAGCCAATAGCGATCCCCTCATTAAAGGGATAAAACGTATACGGACTGGGCCTACGGCTACCTGTAGTAATTGCCTCTTATTAGCCGAGTTTTCGGTCTATACTCTAAATTACGGACCGATGGAAAAAAACGAGGATCCGTAATTTACAGTACGGACCGAAAAAACGAGGCTAATAAGATGTTTATTATATGGCTTCTTCCCGCTTTGGGGAACGGAAATAAGTGCGGGACGCACAATTTGACAGTCATTTGACAGGTGTCAAAAAAGACAGTTTTTATTGGCGCACGAAAATAATAGGACATAACAAAGGCTTTCCGAGAAAGTAAAAACAAATTCGCCATGTTGAAAAAGTTTATTAGGTCAAAACTAGGAGCATTGTGAGCTTTAGCTCTTTAATGTAACGCTGAAGTATTTTGGAAACCGGACACTGTGTCTGTCTTGAAGTCGTTTCCATCTTTCCTCCGTTTGTCCTTGTAAAAAAAAAACGCTGCAAAAGGCAAAGAAGCTTTTCAAGGTGAGTTTGCTGTCGTTGTTGAAGAATTCGTTAATTGTTTTTGGGAAAACCTCTCTTTCTGCCAGTTCATTCTCGTCTTCAATTGTGATCTGCGTTAAAATTTTCAAACACTGACTAGAATTCTCTGCCTCGGTAAGGTTACGATTCAGTTTCTACATCAGCTTCGTTCTCATTAAAACAAAGCTAGGTTAAAATTTGGAAAGGCAAAGTCAACATCCCAGTCCTCAGGATTTACAGACATATTTTAACGTTTATTCTGTCAAAACTAATAGCACTGTAAGTACTCACTCGTTACTGTGACGCTGGAGTCTTTTGAAAACTGGACATTGTGTCTGGCTCGAACTCTCTTCTATCTTTCTTTCGTTGGCCTTTACAAAAACACTGCAAATGGCAAAGAAGCTTGTCAAGATGATCGGGTGCAGGTATGTTTGCTATTATATTTGTCGAAGAAATTACTCATTTTCTGTTGGGCAAAACATCTGGAATCTCTGCCAGTCGATTTTCGTCTTCTTAACTGTGTGCTAAGATAAAATTTTCAAACACTGACTAGAGTCCTCTTCGATAAGTTTACGAATCAGTTTCTTCATCGCCTTCGTCCACAAATAAACAAAGTTTAAAATGTTGAAGGCCAAAATCAGCATCCAAGTCCTAAAGGTGGACAGGCGTCTTATAACTTTATTTAAACCTTTTTTGCGCGGTAAAGAGATTTAGAGCTCCGAAATGAGCATTTTCTTTAAAAATTTTGGTCTGTGTAGCAAGTTACGGACCGCAAATTGACAAGTCTAAATCGTCTAAGACTTTGTCTGAACATTGGCATTCTCAGACTGTAAATCAATGGATTTACGACTGAATTGCACAGATGAATCATGGTTAACAAATATTTCACAAATTCAGGAAACGTTCCTGGAGCGAAACTAAGACAAGAAAATAAAACAAGGCTTGGAACCCAAAAGGCAGCAGATGCTCCTGTCATAAGGAACAAAGTTTTGGAAAGTTTCCTTGTGTTTTGCTCAAACATTTTGCGCTGATGTGTTGTAACGATTGTGGGGTCACTACGTTTAAGTTTTTTTCGGATTGCTAGGTATGATGTGCACATCGTTGCTAGTGATAAGATGATTACGATTGAAAATGTGAGGGTATAGTGAGAAATCTCAAATATTCCGTAGCTAACCAGCCAGGTTAATGAACCCAATGAAACACCTGCTAACCAAGCGGCGCCGACACCGTAGATGAACGTCTTCGCGCTTGTTGTTCAATGAAGAAGCGGCCAAATCAAAGCAAATGCACGTTCTAGAGAAATAAGAACCAGAACGAACACCGATGTACTTAAAAATGTAACTTGAAATTGGATTACAAGAAAGTCATAAGTCGTGAAATGAAGTTTAGATTTTCTAATGTAACTAGGAGGTGCTAACACCGTCAAATGTGGTGTCATGTATGCGAATCCAACGAGAAGATCGGCTACGGCCAAATTGATAAGAAGTAAGTAAGTTCGTCTTAGTTTGTTTCGGTGAATCCAAAACACAGCTATGGTGAGAAAATTAGCAGCGAATACGATGAGAGATTGAAGAGTGGAAACACAAAGGGAAGCAATGGTTGCTGTTTGTTTTGACATTAGTATACTGCTGCTTTTGCTGCTGCTGTAGATTGAAGCCTTCGTTAACTTAGTGACGTTTTAGCTTCGTGCACTGTTTAACGGCACCCAGATTGCGAGAATCGAGCGAGAAGATTCTTCGTTATGCGAAAGCCTGTGCTGTGATACAGATTGGTGGCACTAATACATCCACGATTGATGGTTTTCTGTCGTTAAATACCAAAATAGCTGACAAGTAAAAATCTTGGAATATTTTATCTTAAATCCTGATTTCTGATTGGCTTAAGCTCTCCCCATCACAGACAGTCATTCGGGACATACAGTTTCCTACAGGGCATAACCCTTTTCCTAGCATCGTCCTAATAAGGCAAAGGTCTAATGGAAACTTAAGTCCACTTGTATATGTAACTACATTATTTTTATCTTTATTACTATTTGTGTATCTTTGTTATTCTTCGTAATCACTATTTGTGAGCTTTTACTGAACGTTCAATTGTTGAATTTTGGATCTTTGAATCTTTTTTGTAAGACTTTAACTTAGGTACCGTTTAGGTTTTAAGGTAGGTTTGCCGTATATCACGTGATTGTAAGCTCTTAGGTGTTACGTGTCTAAATAAACTACTTACCTAAATACTTACTACTTACTATATATCCTTGGCATCAATGCAGTGTCTTAAAACACCACAAGACTTCTAAGCTAGTTGTTCTGACCGATCGCAGCTCTCCTCACCGGCATTTTCGAGCGAAATCTTTCTTCCATTACACCGCCTGTTTGCCGATCACCCAGTACAATTTCACATCTTGGACGACCCTGGAACCTTAACCACCCTCCTAGTCCCACTATGACTCCAACGGATTTACTAAAACTTACAACCAAGCAGGAGAGATGACAAAACAGACACGGAATCTCCTGTAAGCCATTTGGAAATTCAATAGTGTTCATTCACTATGGTATGTTATCTGTGGAAGTAAAGTGAATGAGCCACTAGCAAAGGGGTGAGAATAACACCCAGGAAAAATAACAGGTTTTAATTTTTGAAAGGCTTGTTTATTATTATTTACAAATAGAATTTGTAGGATCATTATTTATCTAGTTACAACGGGCAACTATGGAAAATTCAAAGCCAGTTTTGTGATGTGGATGTGGAGGTTTTATACAGAAACTTGTCTCGGTAACTTAACATTTATTCAACTAATTAATTTGACTTGTCGATAAGCGAATTAGATTTTCTCCCTAATCGTGTAACTTTTTGATGGCCTGCAAATCTTCTTCTTATTTGCGAGTTGCTTTAAAGTCTTCTTGAACACTGCTATTCTAAAGCTGTAAATCATTGGGTTCACGAGAGAATTTGTAACATGTAGGAAATTGGTAAGGTAATTCATAAACCCAGGAAGCAAACCGAGCCACAAATTATTGATGTTGTACAATGTCATGCTTGGAGCTCACAAAGTAACAGATGCGCCTATCACAATAAAGAGAGTCTTGGAGAATTTTGCGCTTTGTTCCACACGCTTTCTACAGTCTGCTTTATTGATAGCAGAATTCCTGTCGTAAAGTCTTTTACCGATTAAGAGATACGACGAGCAAATTCCAAATAAAGATAAAAAGGTGATGATAGAGTAGGCGAATAAATATTGTCAAAAGTCTATGATACCATTCGTGGTTGAGAAATTAAGTGCACCTAGTTAAGTGCACCTAGACTCAATCCAGCTAACCATATAATAGCCACGCGGTAGATATAAACCTTGGTGCTTGATGTCGAAGCGGCCAAATCAAGGCGAAGGCTCTCTCCAGAGAAACGAGTACAAGAAGAAAACTAACCCTATGGCTGCGTATTGAATGAGAGACAGTAGATTGTCTATAGATATTAATTACGGTGGCCAAAGCAAACAGGTCAACAAGTGATAATAATGTCACTTTTCAGTCACCAATGAGTTATAGATGGGTATGGTCCAATTAAAAAGTAGTAAGTTCATTTTAATTTGCTTAACACAACTTTATATTGCATGGAGAGAATTTGCAGCGAATCTGATTACTGTGATAATATACCGGATGGAGGGAGGACATCCATAGTGCTGCAATAACAGTTTGTTTTGTTTGACTATATTCCTATAAATATAACGATGCTGTGGATAGTAACATTCGTCAATTTGAATCTAATGTAAGTGATTTTCGATGTACAGTTCAGTGGGTGAGTTATCGAATAATTATTAAAGCGGATTGATGAATCCACGTGTGATTAATATATATTTGATTTCCTAATGTCTTTGAACATTCAGTAATATCTTTTACGGTGCATGCGGCATATTCTAAAAAAAAAAATTAAATGATTAGAGAGTAGCCGCAAAAGACACATTTTCATAGTATTTTGTTGGAAATACCGTATTGTGCCCTCGGGCTGGCGCTAAAAGTCAGCTCGAAATTCGACAAATGTGTTTTATACCAATATAAACTTGCTTCAAATCGGCAGAGTGTTTTTTCTAAATTTGCATGAAATTGAGGATTAGAAGAATTTTTACTGAGACTTGATAAACTAAAATACAGCTTGTTGAGGTGTAAAAGCTCCCTGTTAAAACGTGTCGAACATTTTAACTAAATGTATAACTCTTTGATCGCTTAACAACTTTAAGCTTATTTCTCACTTGTTGTATGGTTTTTTTGAATACTGGTATTCTTAAGCTATAAATTATTGGATTGACAAGGGAATTGGTAATAAGTGGCATTGTGAAAATGTGAATCACAAAATGAGGAAACAGACGTGGAAACCAAACACTGATATTGTACCATGTCAGGCTAGGAACCCATAAGGCAACAGATGCTCCTATCACGAGGAAAAGAGTCTTGGAGAGTTTTGTATTTTGTTCAACACTTATTCTGCTGTGTGCTTTGTCGAAAGCAGGAGCTCTGTTGCTAATTCTTTTCCTGATAGACAGGTAAGACACACAAATCGTAATCAAGGAGAAACCGATGATGACCGCCGCACCAACCGCGAAATACGTTAAATTATAGATTCCAAGGAAAGCAATAAAACTGCTTACACCCATAGCTATCCCAGCTAACCATGCGATAACCACACTGTAAATGTAAACCTTGGTGCTTGTTACGCGATGACGAAGCGGCCAGATCAAGGCAAAGGCTCGTTCCAGAGAAATCAGAACGAGAAAAAATACAGATGCGGACGAGGATAAGATTTGAAAAGAAGGTGGAACGCTTTCATTGACTCCTTGGATTGTTTTGTTTGAGTCGATTTGATCTGCTAAAGTCCACCCACCAGCGACCTCTATTATTTCGGTGAGCCCAGTAAAGAGGTCCGCCACAGCCAGGTTGATAACGAGAAAGCTTGTTCGCGTTAGTTTCTTTCGATGAACCCAGAAAACAAACACAGTGAAAGTGTTAGAAATAAAAACAAAGACGGATAGAAGACCAAGAAGGCACAAAACTACAATGGCTGCCATATCATTTGTCGTAACGACAGAGATAAAGTTACATGTCTGAGTTTCTTTTTTCGGAGAAGATTATAATCCGCATGAGAGCCTACCGGTTTGATAACGTTACCTGAACTACCTTGGCTTGAAAAGGCCCTTCATATTAACACAATGTACCAAAAGAGCTTCATGAAAGATAATGAATTATTTAACACCAAGTCAATTTAATTTGAGAGACTGATTCACATATCTCACTTCAACACAAAAGGAAGAAGAACAAGATGATGATGAAGAACTGAAGGTCTTTATTTTGACACGGACGATAAAAGCTAACAAGCCTGTGGGGTTGAGTGTAAATTAAGGAAATCTATTATCTATAGAAGAAAATAAACAAAAAATAAAACAGCTAACATCAGATATGTACAATGTTTACAGTAGGAAACGATCAAATGTAAGAAAATTATCATTTCAATACTGGACAGGTGAAGCTAAAATAAGGTTGAAATAATAAATTATTAACAAGGAATCAATCAGGAAATTGAGTGATTTTAATTTTCAGTGGACACAAACCTTGTACCAGAATAATTAAAACAATATCGCATTCTTTTTTACACTTTTCAAGGGCTACAGAATGTAATTAGGTTTCTGTAATAACACCGAAGAAAATTTCCAATGGGAGCCCGAGAAAATTTAACGAATATCAGATTTCACAAAATGACATCTTACACATGAAATTTTCAGAATTTTACCTCTCTTTTTTACAATTCTTGTGAAATTGGACATTTATTTTCTCGGGCTCCCATTAGGAATAGTCGGTGTTATTATAGATAAGAATTATATCTACAGCCCTTGAAAAAAGTAAAAAAAGAATGCGATATTGTTTAAATCATTCCGGTTCAAGGTTTTTGTCCACTCAAAGTTGAAATTACTCAATTTCCTGTTGGATTCCATTAAATTTGCGTGCGCCACCGCAAAATTCTTGTCTTTAAAAGGAGTCAAAGAAAAGATGTGTAGTGCTATAATTTAACACGAAAAAAAAAAGAAGAAGAAAAAAAACACAAGCGAGAACAAGAACAACAAAATTACTGACTAATCATAATAAAACACAAAACATCGAGGGAAAATTTGAACTGTTTTTCTTTTCTGTTTTTATAAATATGGGCTAACATTCTACCATCCTACATCCACAAATCCCAGGTTTTATCAATTGATGGTTTACATAAAATATTTCTTCAATCATTTATAAGAAGAGGAAAATAATTTCCTCGTTTGCTTAACCTGGCCTAAGTTGATGGTAACAAAATGAAATTACAGAGAAATATTACAAACGCACCGCTCTGGTTTTTTCTTTAAATAATCTATGCTTATCAATTCTGACTGGCTTAGGGTTACGCGATTGGACTTTTCATGGCTTCCAAGTTTGAGTAGTAACTAACAAAGATATCTCGGTCGTCCGGAGTTGAAATCCTCGGTCACACTTGTAAATAGCCAATTGGTGCAGCCTCCCGCCAGTTGGGGTTTTTAGTAGAGAGCTTTAGATTCTAAGACGAGTACGACCACGAGTACGAGATTTTCTCAATACTAAGTAGTGTACGCGCGTGAACCAGCGTCATTTTGGCGGGAAAACGTGGTAGCCGTCGTCATTGTACTACGAGTTTTCGCGCAAATGTTGAGGTGGCGAAAATAAGATATCCAATTTAAAAGTTGTATCATTTTGCGATCGAGAGAGCGCGTAACCTGCTTCACTAAAAATAACAATGCTAACTTTTCTCGTGAAAAATGGTAAAATGAAGCTTTCCGGGAAGTCTACATTTTGTGAAGACGCGAAAAAACTTTAAGTACAATCTCGTACTCGTAGCCGTCCTGGTCTTCGAATCTAAAGGTCTCTATTCCTGTTATGTTCTATTTGCATCATTTGTTCCAGAATTGTTTGAGTGGAGCGCCTATAAACTAGCTGGATAAGCTAAGTGCACTTTCCACTATAAACAAACCTTTAATTTTTTTTTGGCTCTAATACTCTGGCTCTAATTAATTTACCGTGTACGTTTTCGCTCGCTTGACAAGTTTTATCTTGTCTCTCAATTGTTCATAGCTTCTCCTGAATATTGGTATTTTTAAACTATAAATGACTGGATTAACAAGAGAATTAGTCAAATGTACCATTGTGGAAAGGTGAGCAACAAAATGAGGAAACAGGCTTGGAAACCATAGACTGATATTGTACCATGTAACGCTAGGAACCCACAAAGCAGCAGATGCACCGATCGTGATAAAAAGAGTCTTGGAAAGTTTTGTATTTTGTTCGATGCTTATTCTGCTATGCTCTGTGACGATAGCAGGAGTTCTGTTGTTGATTTTTTTCCTGATGGACAGGTAAGACACACAAATCGTAATCAAGGAGAAACCAATGATGATTGTAGCAGCAACTGCAAAATACTTCACTTGGTATTTTTTAACTACAGCAAGGAAACTGAATACACCTATAGTTATCCCAGCTAGCCACGCTATAACAACGCTATAGGTGTAGACCTCTCTGCTTGTTACACGATGTCGAAGCGGCCAAATCAAAGCAAAGGCTCGTTCCAGGGAAATCAGCACAAGAAGAAACACAGATGCACACGAGAAAGAGGCTACAAAAGGGGCTACAATGCTACCTTTCATCTCGGTAATAGTTTCGTTTGAGCCGATATGTCTTGGAAGAGCAAATGCTCCGACCTCTACAGTATCTGTGAGTCCAATAAGGAGATCCGCCAAAGCCAAGTTAATAACAAGAAAGTTTGTTCGTTTCAATTTACTTTTATGGACCCAGAAAACAAACACGGTGAAGGCGTTAGAAATACAAACGATGATAGACAGAAAAGCGAGAAGGATTAAGGCTGCAATGGAAGCAGTATCAACAGACATTTCAATATACATGTGGATAACGTTAAAAAACTATTAGAAGTTTTAATAATAGCATTTGAAGCAGAACTTCCAGACCTTCTGGAGAATATTCTGTATATAGCCCAGTAGTGTTGTCTGATTTTATAGTTTTTGGTGATCGCTTTCTTTGCAGTGCCTTGCTACCTGTGGTGAAATGGTTGCTTATATAAGCACACCTTCACCCAAAAAGAGTTTCAATAAGCACAGGAAATGCATTACTTAACAACCACTCAGTTGTATATGAAAGACTGAATGACATATCTCAAAGCAAGACAAAAGCCCAAGGGATGATTTGAACGCATTTTGTATCGCCTGAATGCGTTTAAGGTTTACAATCAATATGCTAAGTAACATAATTTCTAATGAAATTAAAATTTGTGAAACGGTGTAATTATAAATACTAAATTAAACAGGAGAGACTACCAAAAATTTAAACGGCGAAGCCAAAGGGTCATGTAGCAGCTGCTCTGAAGAGAAGTCACCAATGGTGCCTAACCCCGGCCCCAAACAATACTATAACAATTGAAAGAATGTCATTTTTCCTATAAGCAATTAGGAGAGACCTTCCCAGCAGCTCCTATACTACCCAAGCCAAATTTTGAAATGAAATTTGAACAGGATTTTTTTTAATTAAATGTGCGTTGACATTAATTGTGTTCACTACACCACCCTTAACTTATTTCTTTTCCTTTTTTAACCAAAGTACCTATAGTTTCCAAGAGAAATCCACCTTTGAACATAAATGAAAAAATCTGCCCATAGAATGATAAACCATGTTAAAATGATCAGGAAAAGAGTGAACTTTTATTTTCCTAAAAAAGGGTATTGTTTTCTGCTCATTAATCGATTCAAAAGATTTCATGACTGATTTGAAATTAACTTGCTGCTAGGGGATATTGAACTTCATTGTATTTAAGATGAGATCCATTAGGAAATTGAGTAGTTTTAATTTTCAGTTGACAAAAACCTTGTACCAGAATAATCTCAAGCATATTGCATTTTTTCACACTTTTCAAGGGCTATAAATGTAATTATAAGTATTATAATAAAACTCCGAAAAAAAGGTTCTTTATATTGGAGCCCGAAAAAACGTAAAACAAACTTCAAAAGCCTCACATTTTACAAAATGAGGTGTTAGCAATGACGAATTTACCTGTACTGTGTTTTCTCAATTTGTATGAAATTTGATCATGAAATTCATTTTCTCAAGATCCCGTTAGAAATTGTCTTTGGTGTTTTTACAGATAACTAATTACATCTGTAGCCCTTGACAAATTTAAAAAAGAATGTGATATGGCTTATTTTTCTTTTTTCTGGTGCAAGCCTTTAGTCCACTGAAAATTAATATAACTCAATTTCCTATTGGGTTTCTTCTCAGTATTTTTGAACCCGTGTTAATAATATATTTTACCATGACATATCCGCAACTTTTATTTATTTTAGGTTTTAACCATGGTTTGTTCACATAATATTTCCTTCATTTTTAATAGAAAAGGGGAATTTTTTTAACATTTTTCCCGCTTTCTGGATAAAACGCTTTCTTTAAAACTACATTGTAAAAAGATCGCGGACATATGAGTAAGGGTGAGACAAGAAATTAAAAAGCGATTTTGTTTTATTGCGCATCATTCGTGGTTATTTTGTTAAACGCTATTAATATAAGTAGATATTTCCCTTTTAATTTCGTTCAAACAATGTTAGCCTTTTACTTCGGCTTGAATCCTACTGCTATTATTTTTCAAAAAGGTATGACTCAATCTCTCATCCCCAAAATAATATTAAAATATTGTGAAGTCTAAATGCGGCTGCGGCACTGCCGATCAAAATGTTGACAGTCAAATTTTAGACAAAAATCTCAAGCGGTTCATAAAGAGAAAAGAAAACATTGGGACTTAAAAAATTCGAGAAAACTTAAAAGATGCTTTAAGCATCATCTCCTGCTTTTATATTACAAATGAAATGAAGAAAATCCTGTCGCCATCATTTTACGCCGAACTTTTCATGAGCCCAAAGCTAACTCGAAATAAGGCCGACTCAAATTATTTAGATCAGCTGAATTGATTCAGGCGCCGATCTTTATTACAGCTGAACTAGCTTTATAGTGAGTTCAGCAAAAGCAAAACTACAGTGTACAAAATACGATTTAATAATTTATGCGTCAGGTTTGGTACATGAAAAGTTCTGCTTTCTGAATCAAAGCCATTCCAAAGTCGCTCCAAAGGCGAAATTCCTGGCCGGGCAAGGCGAAAAGAACGGCTGAACCGTGTGAAATTGAAATAGGTGTTCCTATTATTCAGACGCCGAACTTGTCATGCACTTACTTATTAGGTTCGGATAGGATAGGTTCGGTTCCTGAAAAGTTCGACCTGAACCCGGGGCCCAGATTTCATTTTTCAAGTGTCGAGCTCAGATTACAAAGCTTGGTCACTACACTGTATATTTCTTTTATGTTACGTAGGCTCTATAAAAATATCCTCAATTAACTATGTATTTTTTCCGCTGCTTTCGAAATTTTACAAGTCTAAATCGTCTAAGACTTTGCCTGAACATTGGCATTCTTAGACTGTAAATCACTGGATTTACGACGGAATTGCATATATGAATTATGATTAACAAATATTTCACAAATTTAGGAAACATTCCTGGAGCGAAATTAAGACAAGGAAATAAAACAAGGCTTGGAACCCAAAAGGCAGCAGATGCTCCTGTCATAAGGAACAAAGTTTTGGAAAGTTTCCTTGTGTTTTGCTCAACCATTTTGCGCTGATGTGTTGTACCGATTGTAGGGTCACTGTGTTTAAGTTTTTTTCGGATTGCTATGTATGATGTGCACATCGTTGCCAGTGATAAGACGATTACGATTGAAAATGTGAGGGTATAGTGAGAAATCTCAAATATTCCGCAGCTAACCAGCCAGGTTAATGAACCCAATGAAACACCTGCTAACCAAGCGGCACCGACACCGTAGATGAACGTCTTCGTGCTTGTTGTTCGATGAAGAAGCGTTAATTTGTAATTTCACATGTGAAATTACTAAACTGCCATGGCAACCTAACGTACGTCTCAGTGTCAAGATGGCGACGAAGTTTTAAAATGTAGTGAATGAAGATGTCAGGGCACAAAAAGACGCTTTAGAAAACCTGAACACACGAAAGAGCACATCAAGAAGGATTCTAACAGGTATTTTGTCGAAAAATTCTGAACTTAAGCCAAATTTAAGCTCGAAACGTTCGAGAGAGTGCAGGAATTTTCGATCGGTACGATCCAGGATAAACATGTGAAAAATCGAAGATAGCTAACGTATTTCGTCACCCATGATATTAATAGGTAATCAAATGGTCTACTCGTGAAATTAGGGAATAATTTCACTTGCGTTTTGTCCAAATCCTAATAATTTAAATTATAAGGATTTGAACAAAACGCAAGTGAAATTATTCCCTAATTTCGCTCGTCACCATTTGATTACACATACTAATTTCCCGAGCCTTCAGGCGAGGGAAATTATTAGGATTTGACTAAACTAGCTGGATAAGCAAAGTGCACTTTCTACTATCAACAAACCTTTAATATTTTTTTAAAAATCTAATACTCTGGCTCTAATTAATTTACCGTGTACCTTTTCGCTCGCTTGACAAGTTTTAGCTTGTCTCTCAGTTTTTCATAGCTTCTCCTGAAAACTGGCATTTTTAAACTATAAATGACTGGATTAACAAGAGAATTAGTCAGATGTACCATTGTGGAAAGGTGAGCAACAAAATGAGGAAACAGGCTTGGAAACCATACACTGATATTGTACCATGTAACGCTAGGAAGCCACAAAGCAGCAGATGTACCGATCATGATAAAAAGAGTCCTGGAGAGTTTTGAATTTTGTTCGATGCTTACTCTGCTATGCTCTGTGTCGATAGCAGGAGTTCTGTTGTTAATTCTTTTCCTGATGGACAGGTAAGACACACAAATCGTAATCAAGGAGAAACCAATGATGATTGTAGCAGCAACTGCAAAATACTTCACTTTGTATTTTCTAACTACAGCAAGGAAACTGAATACACCTATAGTTATCCCAGCTAGCCACGCTATAACAACGCTATAGGTGTAGACCTCTCTGCTTGTTACACGATGTCGAAGCGGCCAAATCAAAGCAAAGGCTCGTTCCAGGGAAATCAGCACAAGAAGAAACACAGATGCACACGAGAAAGAGGCTACAAAAGGGGCTACAATGCTACCTTTCATCTCCGTAATAGTTTCGTTTGAGCCGATATGTCTTGGAAGAGCAAATGCTCCGACCTCTACAGTATCTGTGAGTCCAACAAGGAGATCTGCCACAGCCAAGTTGATAACAAGAAAGCTTGTTCGTTTCAATTTACTTTTATGGACCCAGAAAACAAACACGGTGAAGGCGTTAGAAATACAAACGATGATAGACAGAAAAGCGAGAAGGATTAAGACTGCAATGGAAGCAGTATCACCAGACATTTCGACATACAAACTTCCAGACCTTCTGGAGAATATTCTGTATATAGCCCAGTAGTGTTGTCTGATTTTATAGTTTTTGGTGATCGCTTTCTTTGCAGTGCCCTGCTACCTGGGGTGAAATAGTTGCTTATATAGGCACACCTTCACCCAAAAAGAGTTTCATTAAGCACAGGAAATGTATTATTTAACAACCACTCAGTTGTATATGAAAGACTGAATGACATATCTCAAAGCAAGACCAAAGCCCAAGGGATGATTTGAACGCATTTTGCTTTGCCTCAATGCGTTTACAATGTTTGAAAATTCTAGCATGGCTTTTAAGGTTTACAATCAATATGCTAAGTAACATAATTTCTAATGAAATTAAAATTTGTGAAACCGTGTAATTATAAATATTGAATTAAACAGCAGAGACTACTAAAAATTTTAACGGCGAAGCCAAAGGGTCATGTAGCAGCTGCTCTGAAGAGAAGCCACCAACGGTGCCTATCCTCGGCCCCAAACAATACTAAAACAATTGAAAGAATGTCATTTTTCCTGCAAGCAATTAGGAGAGACCTTCCCAGCAGCTCCTACACTACCCAAGCAAAATTTTGAAATGTAATTTGAACATGATTTTTTTTTAATTAAATGTGCGTTGACATTGATTGTGTTACTACAACACCCTTATTTTTTGTCTTTTTTTAACCAAAGTACCTATAGTTTCCAAGAGAAACCCACCTTTGAACACAAAAGAAAAAATCTGCTCATAGAATGATAAATCATGTTAAAATGATCAGGAAAATAGTGAACGCTTATTTTCCTAAAAATGACTGATTTGAAATCAACATGCTGCTAGGGGATGATTGAACTTCATTGTATTTAAAATGAAATTCATTAGGAAATTGAGTAGTTTTAATTTTCAGTGGACAAAAACCTTGTACCAGAATAATCTCAAGCATATTGCATTCTTTTTCACACTTTTCAAGGGCTATTAATGTAATTGTAAGTTGTATAATAAAACTTCGAAGAAAAGATTCTTTATATTGGAGCCCGAGAAAACGTAAAACAAACTACAAAAGCCTCACATTTCACAAAATGGAGTGTTAGCAATGACGAATTTACCTGTACTGTGTTTTCTCAATTGGTATGAAATTTGAAATTAGAAATTGTCTTTGGCGCTTTTACAGATAACTTATTACATCTATAGCCCTTGACAAGTGTAAAAAAGAATGTGATGTGGCTTATTTTTCTTTTTTCTGGTGCAAGGCTTTCGTCCACTGAAAATTACTATAACTCAATTTCCTAATGGATTTCTTCTTAATATCTTCTCTGTATTTTTGAGAGCGTGTTAATAAAAATATTTTACCATGACATGTCCGCAACTTTTATTTATTTTAGGTTTTAACCATGGTTTGTTCTCATAATATGAATTAAAACGCTTACTATAAAACTACATTGTAAAAAGATCGGGGACAGATGAGTAAGGGTGAGACAAGAAATTAAAAAACGATTTTGTTTTATTGCGCATCATTCTTGGTTATTTTGTTAAACGTTACTAATATAAGTAGATTTTTCTCTTTTTATTTCGTTCAAACAGTGTCAGCCTTTTACTTCGGCTCGAATCCTACTGCTATTATTGTTCAAAAAGGTATGAGTGAATCTCTGATAAATTTTAATCTAAGAATCACCCCCAAAATATTATTAAAATATTGTGAAGTCTAAATGCGGCGGCGGCACTGCCGATCAAAATGTCGACAGTCAAACTTTAGACAAAGATCTCAAGCGGTTCCTCAAGAGAAAAGAAAACAATTGAACTTAAAAAAATCGAGAAAACTTAAAAGATGCTTTAGGCATCATCTCCTGCTTTTATATTACAAATGAAATGAAGAAAATTCTGTCGCCATCATTTTACGCCGAACTTTTCATGAGCCGAACCTAACTCGAAATAAGGCCGACCCAAATTATTTAGATCAGCTGAATTGATTCAGGCGCCGATCTTAATTACAGCTGAACTAGGGAGTTCAGCAAAAGGCAAAACTACAGTGTACAAAATACGATTTAATAATTTATGCATCAGGTTTGGTACATGAAATTCTGCTTTCTGAATCAAAGCCGTTCCAAAGTCGGTCCAAAGGCGAAATTCCTGGCCGGGCAAGGCGAAACGAACAGCTGAACCGTGTGAAATTGAAAGATGTGTTCCTATTATTCGCACGCCGAACTTTTCATGTAGTTAGTTCAATGTATTAGGTTCGGTTCATGAAAAGTTCGACCTGAACCCGGGGCCCAGATTTCATTTTTCAAGTGTCGAGCTCAGATTACAAAGCTTGGTCACTACAATGTATATTTCTTTTATCTTAGGCTCTATAAAAATATCCTCAATTAACTCTGTATCTTTTCCGCTGCTTTCGAATCTTGGCAAGTTTAAATTGTCTAAGACTTTGTCTGAACATTGGCATTCTCAGACTGTAATTCACTGGATTTAGAACGGAATTGCACAGATGAGTCATGGTCAACAAATATTTCACAAATTCAGGAAACATTCCTGGAGCGAAATTAAGACAAGAAAATAAAACAAGGCTTGGAACCCAAAAGGCAGCAGATGCTCCTGTCATAAGGAACAAAGTTTTGGAAAGTTTCCTTGTGTTTTGCTCAACCATTTTGCGCTGATGTGTTGTACCGATTGTGGGGTCACTACGTTTAAGTTTTTTTCGGATTGCTATGTATGATGTGCACATCGTTGCCAGTGATCAGACGATTACGATTGAAAATGTGAGGATATAGTGAGAAATCTCAAATATTCCGTAGCTAACCAGCCAGGTTAATGAACCTAAAGAAACACCTGCTAACCAAGCGGCGACGACACCGTAGATGAAGGTCTTCGTGCTTGTTGTTCGATGAAGAAGCGGCCAAATCAAAGCAAATGCACGTTCCAGAGAAATAAGAACCAGAAAGAACATCGATGTACTTAAAAATGTAACTTGAAATTGGATTACAAGATAGTCATAAGTCGTGACATTAAGTTTAGATTTTCTAATGTAGGAAATGCTAACATCGTCAAATGTGGTGTCACGTATGCGAATCCAACGAGAAGATCGGCTAGGGCCAAATTGATAAGCCTGTGCTGTGATACAGATTGGTGGCACTAATACATCCACGATTGATGGCTTTCTGTCGTTAAATACCAAAATAACTGACAAGTAAAAATCTTGCAATATTTTAACTTAAATCCTGATTTCTGATTGGCTGAAGCTCTCGCCATCATAGACAGTCGTCCGGGACATACAGTTTCTTACAGGGCATAACCCTTTTCCTAGCATCGTCCTATTAAGGCAAATAAGGCAGAGGTCTAATGGAAACTTAAGTCAACTTATATATGTAATTACATTATTTTTATCTTTATTACTATTTATGAATCTTTAATATTCTTCGTAATCACAATTTGTGAGCTTTTACTGAACGTTCAGTTGTTGAAGTTTGGATCTTTTAATCTTTTTAAGAATGTATTTTTTTATGTAATAGACATTATATCTGAGGTAGTTATAGTTTTAACTTAGGTACCGTTTAGGTTTTAAGGTATAGGTTTGCCGTAACAACAACAACAAAACTTTATTAATAAACAAATAAAATTACAAAAGTATTGCCCGCAGCTAGCAAGGCTATTCTAGGCGGGACATTTGCATGTAAAATATAAGAAATAAAGACTAAGGCTATTAACTAAGGAAAGTTTACAGTTAGTTACAAATAAATGAAATAGAAATCGTAATATGGATGAGGACTAGGTAACAGACTAAAGGAAAAAGAATTAACCAAATAAATTGTAAAATCATGTATTGCTGATATCAGTCAATGGATGCATTCGGATAAGTTAAAACTGAATTCCGATAAGACACAATGTCTTCTGATTGGAACACGACAACAACTTCAGAAAGTCAGTAACATTAGTACCTTATCGGTTGGGGACTCCCAAATTGCTCCATCTTGTGAAGTTCGAAACCTAGGAACCTGGTTTGATTCTAAAATGAGTATGCTAAGTCATATCAACAAAACTTGCTCATCCGCTTTCTATTATCTTTATAACATGCGTAGAATTAGGAAATATTTAAGTCGTTCAGTCACCGAATCATTAGTTCATGCTTTTATCACCAGTAGAATAGATTATTGTAACAGTCTACTATATGGCCTCCCGAATTCACATATCATGAAACTCCAACGATACAGAATGCCGCGGCTCGGTTGGTCACCGGAACACCAAGATTCTGCCATGTTACACCATAGCTTTTCTACCTTCATTGGCCTCCAATAAGTTACCGTATAAAGTTTAAGATTCTACTTTTGACTTTTAAGTGCTAATATGGTCAAGCTCCTAATTATCTAATTGATTTCATTACTATCAAAAAGCAATCCAGGTACTTTCTAATGTCAAATGAGTCTATATTCCTCGAGTTACCAGGCATTAACACCCATCCCCTCGTGGCGATCGTGCATTCCAGTCAACTGCACCTTATCTCTGGAATGCATTGCCTTCGCCAATTCGCAACATGAAGACATTGGACACTTTTAAGACTGCTGTTAAAACTCATTTTTTCAATTTAGCTTTTAAATAGATTTAATTTTTGGCTTTTATCATACGTTTTTTCATTAGTATTATTATTATTATTATTATTTTTATTTATAGTTTTTAATACTTTTTATTGTAGTTTTTAATAGTTTCTCATGCTTTAGTCACCTTTAACACAAATTTAATATAACAATATTGTAAAGCGCAACCGAATATATTCATATAGAGGTTTGCGCTATATAAATTATTATTATTATTATTATTATTATTATTAAAAGTAGACACTAATAAGCAAGAATTTCTTTTTCGACGTTTTTGGCTAAATTTACCTTTTTACTTAAGGTGGGCGTATCAATATAGTCATCTTCTGAATTCAGAATATCAAAAAGTAATTTGCGGAGTGCTTTTTTGAACTGATTCTTGGGAAATTGTCGGATGTTACAGGGTATCTCATTCCACAGCGTAGCCCCAAAGCAATTAAAGACAGTTTATATAATTCTAGATCGGAACTGTTAACATAAAAATTTCCTGAAGCCGATGCTCTTGTATTGTAGTAGTGGCAGCTGCTTGTTGTTTGAAATAGATTTAAAATGCCAGAAGGTACCATATTGTTATGAACATCATGCATAAGATTTGACATAGACTGATAATATAAGAAGTTTAAGGGTAAAACGTTGGCGTCAGTTAAGAGAGGTATTGCGTGATCGCGTCTATCCGAGAGGTTTATTATCCGAAGAGCTCTTTTATGTAGCAATAGAATTTTGTTGATATGTGTCTACGCTGCTTGACACCAAGCAGCAAGTTCATGTGTAATATACTGATGATAAGTGATTGATAAATTTTTAGAATAATTTGCCGGGGTACAAAATGACGCAATTTCGCAAGTAAGCCAACGGTTTGGCTGATTTTTGAAGAGACAGTGTCAATATGATGTTTCCAGGTAAGGTTTTTATCAATCAAAATGCCAAGATATTTAATATATTCCTTGGATTCAAGAGTAGCATAGTCATTTTTCTCGTTGTCAAATAAACATGTTTTAGGTTTATAATTAGGCTTTTTTTTGTTTAGGATGAAAGATTACAAAGTTGGATTTACTAATGTTAAGAGTTAGCTTATTAGATGTTAACAAGTCGTACAGTTTGCACAATTCAATAACTTTCAATTTTTTTTCAGCAAAAAGTATATTGGTATCATCAGCGAAAAGATAGAATTTAAGTTTAGTAGAGCACTGGTGGACATCTTAAACATATAGCAAAAAGAGAAGAGGACCTACAACGGAACCTTGAGGAACTCTAAAGCTGATTGATTGATATGAGGTCAGCAATTTGAGTAGTTGCCGTATATCATGTGATTGTAAGCTCTTAGGTGTTACGTGTCTAAATAAACTACTTACCTACTTACTTACTATATATCCTTGGCATCAATGCAGCGTCTTTTACACCACAAGATTTCTGAGCTAGTTGTTCTGACCGATCGCAACTCTCCTGCACTGGCATTTTCGAGCGAAATCGTTCTTCCATTACACCGCCTGTTTGCCGATCACCCAGTAAAATTTCACATGTTGGACGACCCTGGAACCTTAACCTTCCTCCTTATCCCACCATGACTCCAACGGAATTACTAAACCTTTCAACCAAGGAGGAAAGATGACAAAACAGACACGGAACCTCCTGTAAGACATTTGGAAATTCAATAGTGTTCATTCATCATCGTATGTTATCTGTGGAAGTAAAGTGAATGAGCCACTAGCAAAGGGTACAATAACGTCCAGGAAAATTTTTTTTAATTCTTAAAAGGCTTGTTTATTATTATTTACAAATAGAATTCGTCGGATCATTATTTATCTAGTTACAACTAGCAACTATGGAAAATTCAAAGCCAGTTTTGTGATGTGGATGTGGAGGTTTTATACAGAAACTTGTCTCGGTAACTTAACATTTATTTAACTAATTAATTTGACTTGTCGATGAACGAATTAGATTTTCTCCCCAATCGTGTAACTTTTTGATGGCCTGCAAATCCTCAACTTATTTGCGAGTTGCTTTAAAGTCTTCTTGAACACTGCTATTCTAAAGCTGTAAATTATTGGGTTCACGAGAGAATTTGTAACATGTAGGAAATTGGTAACGTAATTCATAAACCCAGGAAGCAAACCGAGCCACAAGTTATTGATGTTGTACAACGTCATGCTTGGAGCCCACAAAGTAACAGATGCGCCTATCACAATAAAGAAAGTCTTGGAGTATTTTGCGTTTTGTTCCACACGCTTTCTACAGACTGCTTCATTGATAACAGGATTTCTGTTGCAAAGTCTTTTACGGATTAAGAGATACGACGAGCAAATTACAAATAAAGATAAAAAAATGATGATAGAGTAGGCGAATAAATAATGTCGAAAGTCTATAATACCATTCGTGGTTAAGAAATTAAGTGCACCTAGACACAATCCAGCTAACCATATAATAGCCACGCTGTAGATATAAACCTTGGTGCTTGTTACGCGATGTCGAAGCGGCCAAATCAAGGCGAAGGCTCTCTCCAGTGAAACGAGTACAAGAAAAAACACAGATGCACCAGAAGCCATTGCTAGAAACGATCCTGGAATTCCCTCCATAAACTTACTGCCATTCAGTTTACGTCCGGCGATGACTGTTTCTACAAGTCCCACCAAAAGGTCAGCAACAGTCAAGTTAAAAACAATAAGGAATGTTCGCTTTAGTTTGTAGCGATGAATCCAGAAAACAAATACAGTAAAAGTATTAGCGATAATAATGAAAACAGACAGGACAAGAAGAACGACCACTATCGAAATCGGAGTCGCATCAGACATAATAACAAAGATAATGTTTTATAAGATTGTAATGTGGTAGACGGTATAGAGGTTAAAGGATTCCAGCTTGCCTTACACACCGTTATGAGCACAAGTATCTTTATAAACGCTAGGCCCTTGTGAGTTTCACGACGTTTGCGTTCTGTAGTTAAATTAATGCGGAGTAGTCGTTGTATTACATGACTGTATTATGTTTTTGTATCGACAGCGCACCTGACCAACCAAAGGGAAGTTAAAAAATAAAGCTTTGTGCCTCCCAAGGGCGATATTTAATTATCACACAGATAAACCAATCAGTTGAAAATAGAACTTTAATAAAAAGTACAACATTAAACTAACCCTACGGCTGCGTATTGAACGAAAGACAGTAGATTGTCTATAGATGTTAATTACGGTCGCCAAAGCACTAATGGGCACCAATGGTAGATGGGTATGGTCCAATTAAAAAGTAGTAAGTTCATTTTAGTTTTCTTAACACAACTTTATTTTGCATGGAGAGAATTTGCAGGGAACATGATTACTGTGATAATATACCGGATCGAGGGAGGACATCCATAGTGCTGCAATAACAGTTTGTTTTGTTTGACTATTCCTATAATTAACGATGCTGTGGATAGTAACATTCGTCAATTTGAACCTATAGTAAGTAGTTTTTGATGTAGAGTGCAGTGGGGTGAGTTATCGAATATTTATTAATTAAAAAAGCGGATTGATGAATCCAAGAGTGATTAACGTATATTTGATTTCATAATGTCTTTGAACATTGAGTATATCTTTCAAGGAACATGCAGCACATTCTAAAAAATAGATTTAAAGGCTTAGAGAGTAGCCGCACAAGACACATTTTCTGAGTATTTTGTTGGAAATGCCGTATTGTGATTCGGGCTGGCGCTTAAAGTCACCATAGTAAGTGGTTTTTGATGTACAGTGCAGTGGGTGAGTTGTCGAATATTTATTAATTAAAAAAGCGGATTGATGAATCCAAGAGTGATTAACGTATATTTGATTTCATAATGTCTTTGAACATTGAGTATATCTTTCAAGGAACATGCAGCACATTCTAAAAAATAGATTTAAAGGCTTAGAGAGTAGCCGCACAAGACACATTTTCTGAGTATTTTGTTGGAAATACCGTATTGTGATTCGGGCTGGCGCTTAAAGTCAGGTCGAATACGACAAATTATTTCGTGTTTCATGCCAATATAAACTTGCTGCAAATCATCAGAATATTTTTCTAAATTTGCATGAAATTGAAGATTAAAAGAATTTTACTGACTTGATCAACTAGAATACAGGCTGTTGAGACGTAAGAGCTCCCTTATAAACGAGTCGAACATTTTAACTAACTGTATAACTCTTTGATGGCTTGACAACTTTAAGCTTATTTCTCACTTTTTGTATGGTTTTTTTGAATACTGGTATTCTTAAACTATAAATAATTGGATTGACAAGGGAATTGGTGATGTGTAGCATTGTGAAAATGTGAGTCACAAAATAAGGAAACAGGCTTGGATACCATACACTGATATTGTACCATGTAACGCTGGGAACCCATAAAGCAACATATGCTCCTATCACGATAAAAAGAGTCTTGGAGAGTTTTGTATTTTGTTCAGCACTTATTCTGCTTTCTGCTTTGTCGATAGCAGGAGTTCTGTTGTTAATTCTTTTCCTGATGGACAGGTAAGATACACAAATCGTAATTAGGGAGAAACCAATGATGACCGCAGCACCAACCACGAAATACGTGAATTCGTAGATTCCAAGTAAAGCAATGAAACCGCTCACACCTATAGCTATCCCAGCTAACCATACGATAACTACACTGTAAATGTAAACCTTGGTGCTAGTTACACGATGACGAAGCGGCCAGATCAAAGCAAAGACTCGTTCCAGAGAAATCAGAGAAATAATACAGATGCGAACGAGAATACAATTTGTAAAGAAGGCGGAATGCTTCCATTGACTCCTTGGATTGTTTTGTTTGAGGCAATTTGGCTTGCTAAAGTCCATCCACCAGCGACCTCTATTATTTCTGTGAGCCCAGAGAAAAGGTCCGCTACAGCCAGGTTGATAACGAGAAAGCTTGTTCGCGTTAGTTTCTTTCGATGAATCCAGAAAACAAACACAGTGAAAGTGTTAGAAATAAAAACAATGAAGGAAAGAAATCCTAGAAGGCACAAAATTGCAATGGCTGCCGTATCATTTGTCATAACGACAGAGATAAAGTTAAATGAGTTTTTTTTTTCGGAGAAGAATAACGCGTATGAGAGCCTACCGATGTGGTAACGTTACCTGAACTACCTTGGGGTGAAATGACTCTTCATATCAACACAGTTCTACCAAAAGAGCTTCAAGAAAGATAATGAATGATTAACACCAAGTCAATTTAATTTGCGAGACTGATTCCCATATCTCACTTCAACACAAAAGGTAGAGGAAGAAGAACATGATGATGAAGAAGGCCCTTACTTTGACATTAATGATAACAGATAGCCTGATAAAAACAAGCCTGTGGGGTCGAGTGTGAATTAAGGAAAACTATTATTTATCAGATATGTACAATATTTACAGTGAGAAACGATCAAATGTAAGTAATTCATCATTTCCATACTGCTTGACAGGTGAAGCTAAGTAATTGAAATAATAAGTTATTAACATGTGAACCCAGTTCCTAAATATCCTATTAAATTTGCGTGGACCATCGCAAAATTATTGTTTTTAAAAGAAGTCAAAGAAAATATGTTCTATTTAACACGAAAACAACAACAACAACAACAACAATAACTACAACACAAACAAGAACAACAACAATAAAATCACTGACTAATTTAATCATAGTAAAACGCAGAATAACAGGGGCTAACATTGTATCATCCTACATCCACAACTCCCAGGTTTTAACAATCATTTATAAGAAAAGGAAATAATTTTCTCTCTTGCTCTACCTGGCCTAAAATGATGGTAAGAAAATGAAATTTATATTGAGAATCTATGCTTATTAATTCTGACTTGCTTAGGGTTGTGAGATTGGATTTTTCATGGCTCCCAAGTTTGAGTATTAACAAAAAAAAAATTGATTGCTAATACAGCTCTTGGTTTATCAGACAACAATAAAAATTTGTCATGGACAGTGTTTTGTTGACACTGGAGTCGTTATAGCAACAAAACAACATCATTATCTACTTTACTTGCAGACGTAATTCGCGGCAATGAGAGTTTTTTTTCCCCACGATTGCTCACGAAAGCTTGTTTTCCTCCAAAACCTGACTCCCTGTTCATAAAGTCTGAGCAAAATCTATGAGATAAATTTGGGATAAATTTTTCAGGGGATGCCAAGAGCATCCTCTCTATATTTTCAGGAGTCGTGTGTATTTCCCTTGGGACCGCATTAATTGGATTAAAGGAGAGCTGCCCAATGATGGCAAAGATTTCATAATCCCTTGGGATTTGGTAAAACTAGTTTGAGAAAGATATGAAAAACCATAAGAACGGGTTTACGTTACTAAACGAAACCGAACATACACTATATCTTGTGCCTTTCAATACCTATGTTTTGTATAATTATCTTGGGAAAAATGCCCACTTTACAAAAGGATTTAAACCCTGTGTTAAATATGACACATGATTGTGTCAGTTGCTTACCAGGATTCATTTTGGATAGGCCAGTTAGTCACTATTATTTATTTATTTAGCTACAACAACTTTATTGAAGATAATATAAAATTCAAAAAGGTATAGTAAACAGGACCTTTAAGTCCATATAGTGCTTAATATGCCCATAAAAGAATCCTTTCCTTGTAACCTTTTAATTTGACGCTGTTCTTTACGTGCCTTTAACGTGTCGAAAATCAGAACAGACTTTCTCTACAGTTTACCTCTAATCCTCTGGCTCTAATTAATGTACTGTGTACCTTTTCGGTCGCTTGACAAGTTGTCTCTCAATTGTTTAAAGTTTCTCCTGAATATTGGCATTTTTAAACTACATGGATTAACAAGAGAATTAGTCAGATGTACCATTGTGGAAAGGTGAGGGACAAAATGAGGAAACAGGCTTGGAAACCATACACTGATATTGTACCATGTAACGCTAGGAACCCACAAAGCAACAGATGCACCTATCATGATAAATAGAGTCTTGGAGATTTTTTTATTTTTTTGCGATGTTTATTCTGTTGTGTTCTCTTAGTTCCTGTGAAACTTGAGAGTTATTTTCTCAGGTTCCCGTTAGAAATTGTCTTGGTGTTATTAGTAATGGTAACAGGACTGACTGGAGTCCAATTCGGTTTGTAATCATACGATCATATGATTAACAAAATTTGACGACCGTGTGGTGGGAGTCCGATTTGTTTAATCATGAGTATGATTAAAAACCGAATTGGACGACACGAGGTTCTGTTACCAATTAATCATAACTTTAACAAAATTTGTGATATATAAAGCTCTTTTTAAAATCAAGACAAAGGAAATTCCAAGATTTTTGCTACCAGTGGAAAAAAAAAAGCCATTTAAGCGCCCACGTGATGGCGTGTACTATCCAATTACTTAGGCATGACGCTTACTGTCCAATTAAACTGTCCAATTAAGGCTAAAATCGGGGCAGTTGATAGCCAATCAGATTTGACAATTTTGTTATAGTCATGATTACTATTATTAACATACATGTACAAAGCGCTAAATGATTTTGCTCCTAACTATGTCTCCGATCTCACTGAAATCTATGTACCTGAACGTAATCTCCGGTCTGCGCAAAGTCGGCAGTTGATTCAACCAACTTAATTCAACTTGCGTACCTATATGGTTTTAGGGTGTTTTCATGCGCTTCTCCTTTTTTATGGAATTCTCTGCCACGCGAAATAAGGTCTTCTTTTTTACTTTAGGCAGCTCGCGCTTATTAAAGCATCTACGTTCTGTTTCAGTACTTTCAGATAGAAAATTTAAGTTTTTGTTATTTTAAAAAAGATGTATATTTTTGCTGTTTTCAGCCGTTTTTTAGCTCTAGGTTGTAGTTTTAGATTTAATTCTTTTTGTTTATTTTTTAAATAGTTGTTTATATATATATTTTTTCTAGCCTCTTCTATCTCTAGGTTTTAGTCAAATTTAATAACATTGATTGTAAATTTTGTTTTGCAGCCTTTTAATATTAATTTTAGTTAGAGTCTATTTGTGAGCCATTTTTTATAATGTAAGGGAAGGTTTTTTATCGCTGTGAAGCACTATAGGGCATTATTGTTTTATGGACATAGTGCTATATAAGTAAATAAATATTATTATAATTATTATTACAGATATAACTAATTACATCTATAGCCCTTGAAAAGCGTAAAAAAGAATACTAATAATGGCTTAAAATTTTCTGGAACAAGGTTTTGTCCACTGAAAATTAAAATTACTCAATTTCCTAATGGATTTTTTCGTTAATGTCTTCTCATTATTTATCAACCCGTCAGTTTAATAATATTTTTTTACCGTGACATATTCGCAGATTTTATTTATTTTATATTTTAACCATAGTTTGTTCACATAATATTTTTAACAGAAAAGGGGAACTTTTTTTTAAACCTTTTTCCGCTTTCTAAATAAAACGCTTAATATAAAATTATTGTAAAAAGACAGATGACAAGGAATTAAAAGACGGTTCTGTTTTATTGCCCATCATTCTTGGTCATTTAAAATTTTGTTTAACGTTATATAGGTAGATATTTTTCTTTTTATTTCGTTTAAACAATTATAGCCTTTTACTTCGGCTTAAATCCTACTGCTATTATTTTTCTAAAAGGTATGAGTCAATCTCTGATAAATTCTTATCCAAGAATCACCCCAAAAATAATATTAAAAGAAGTCTAAATCCGGCGGAGGCACTGCCAAGCAAAATGTTGACCGTCAAATTTTAGACGAAAAATCTTAAGCGGTTAACAAAGAGAAAAGAAAAAAATGGGCGCTTAAAAAAAAATTCGAGAAAACTTAAATATGCTTTAGGATTCATCTCTGCTTTTATATTGAAAATGGACTGAAGAAAATCCCGTCGCCTCCTTTTAAACCCGGTTCATACGCCGAACTTTTCTATAATTCGAAATAAGGCCGACCCAAATTATTTACACCGGCTATATTGAGTCAGGCGCCGATCTTCATTACGGCTGAACTATAAAAAGTTCATCAAAAGGCGAAAAATGCTTATTTCGGTCAAACTGCTTACAAAATAAGGTATAATAATTTATACATGAGGTTCGGTACATGAAAAGTTCAGCTTGTGAATTAAAGCCGTTCCAAAGTCGCTCCAAAGGCGAAATTTCTGACTGGGCTTGAGGAAAAGAACCACTGAGCTGTGTCATATTGAAATAGGCGTTCCTAATTGATTCAGACGCCGAACTTTTCATGTAGTTAATGCAATGTATCAGTGCCGTAGCCAGACCAAACGGCCAACTGAGGCAGGCGGGAGTTGCTAGGGGGGTTCGGGGGCATGCCCCCCCCGAGAAATTTTGAACTTTAGTCTCTCGGAAATGCGATTTGCAGCGTTTTCTGCGTTTTCAGTATTAATACGGCGAAAATTTTGGTTATATATACATATTTTTTAACTGTTATATTTTGGCCACGAAATCTTTTCTGAGAGGCTCCGATGATCGCTTATGTAAAATAAAAATGATCGGCGAAATTCGTCAAAATTTTACCGAGGCGAGTGCCTCGGTTGGCCTCATACTAGCTACGGCGCTGTGTATTGGGATCGGCTCATGAAAAGTTCGACCTGAACCTGGCCCATTTTGCAAGTGTCGAGCTCAGATTACAAAGCGTGATCACTACAATGTGTATTTTTTCGATCTCTTGTGAATCTTCAACTTATTTCCGAGTTGTTTCAAAGTCTTCTTGAAGACCACCATTCTAAAGCTATAAATCATTGGATTTACAAGAGAATTTGTCGCATGCAACATAAATAAAATGAAAGTAACAAACCTTGGAAACAAATTTGGTACGAGAGTTTTGATTATGTACAATGTCATGCTTGGTGCCCAAAAAGC